TAACATAACTGATAATGCACAATCTGACTTTACGTTAACTGGTAACATAACTGATATGCACTATCTGACTTTACGTTAACTGGTAACATGGCCGATATACATTATCTGACTTTATGTTAACTGGTAACATAACTGATATACATTATCTGACTTTATGTTAACTGGTAACATAACTGATATACATTATCTGACTTTATGTTAACTGTAACATAACTGATATGCACTATCTGACTTTACGTTAACTGGTAACATAGCTGATATGCACTATCTGACGTCAACCAATATGAATTCATGAGATTGTTATCTATTCGTATTGCCCATTTCTATTAATCACGATATCCAAAGTAATGAGTAATGAAAGTAATGATTTAAATATTTGTGTTGATGGGGGTGGTGGATTGACGAACATTTCAACGACTGAGGGCAGTATTGCATTAGCTAACTAAATACGTAACAGATGTAGAATTCCGTGTTAAAATAGTTTTCAGGTGTGATCCTGATAGAAGTAAACACGGAAACAATAATGGAATACAAAACTGAGTACGAAGAAAGCCTATGTCGATACAGCACTCAAATTTATCCGTGATTGGATTATTCACTAGTGTGATGGTGCTGTTTCGGGTTCTATGTTGAACCCTTCATCAGTCGGAACAGTACTTGACCGAATCGTTCGATTAAATTAGCTTTCAGAATGTTCGACGTTATTACTTTCATTATACAATTTAGTTAAAATGTTAAGTAATTCTTCGTCGTTTGGTGTGTCATTTTTCATGAGTTTGTCAGTACGTAGACTAGAACTTGTGAGTTTATCTTTCAAGTTAATATTTCTACGAAATGCAATAAGGGGGGGGGATTTGGAAAAATGTTACACAGTAACAAATCATTCCGAATTAAATCCCAGTTTTTTAATAGACCATGCAGTACGATTCTGTTGCACAGACTACTTTACGTTTGCACCATAGATTGATGTTGGTGGCGCTAGAAATTTCAGGCAACGATGGCACTGTCTAATCATTGTACACCAATTGTCATTTTATATTAATATTCACTACACATCTCGATCCCGTCATTATTATGTAACCATATTTTGAATTTGATGTAGAAGTACAATAACCACAAACGTAGTGATAATTTATTCTATGTGAATCACGGTCGTCCAAGTGAAACTGAAAACGAGAGATAGTGACATAGATAAAGGCAATTCAGGAATAGCATCCTTTTCTAGTTTGTATTCCACCTTAATGGCTAACATTAAGTCCGTTGCGTCCCTGTGGAGTGTTCACATACATTTCAAAGAATATTACCCACGCAATTCCAAGTTAAATAAAGGTATTTATAAATATGTATGATGTTCATATTTACAGGTATATTTAAATGATAATGATTCAGCCCTGGTTTGTCAATGTCAAACAGTTACTACTTTGGGATATAGATGACGCTAATTTCTTTGTTTGAGGCAACTAGAAGCGCACGTATGCGGTTGAAAACATAAACAACAGATTAGGACACAATTTGAAAAAATAGAAAAGTTCTAGAATAATCCGTGTTCACGTTCAAACGAATCAAATATGTCGTTAGGAGGAAACGTTCGGCTGCTATACAGGTACAATAAATCAATAACCAAGACATTTAGTAGCAGGTTTAATTTGTATATATACTTGATGATCTGAATTTGTATTGCCATGGTTACAAAGTGACATTCGTAAGCAAGACACGAATTGTGTTTGTGGCATTATTTTTCTATTATCTGTGCATGTTTACAGTGATGACAGACAGGCGTGTTGTTAATAAAGTGTAGCCTGCATGTTCACTATATAGTAATGTTCTATTTCTGGAACAGTTAAATGAGGTGAACATGCTTGAATATGTCCTTATCATTCTCTAGTATAATGAAGTTACCTTGGATAAGCTATCTTATTTTGAAGCTGTAGTTTATTGAACGTGAATACTAATAGGTTTATTAGTCATTAGATTATTTAAAAGGAATGCCGGTAAATACTCTGTACAACTAGCGTTACACTGCGTGCAAATAATATGTAATATATACTAGGAGTGTAAAACTACAATATGTATTGTGAACAACGTGTAGATTTTGTAATGTCACAAAGTTCAACTGTGATCACAAATAGACTACAACCTGCCTATTTCCTTAAGTGTCTCCCTTGAGGTCGATGAGTTTTAAGCGTCACCACGAAGGACATTGTTAAGCTAGCTATTCAGCATATCCGAACGTGAGGTGCATCTGGCGCAGGTGAGCACTTTATTAAAAATTAAAGTATTCTGCTCGCCGATCAATCAGCAAATCAAATTTGACTCAATAGTTCCCAGCGGATATACCACATGCAAAACACAAGTGGAATCACTGTCTATTTACTTTATAAGCATATGTCGCGCAATGTACAGTGTAGTAGTCGTCATGATTTTCTGTCAGAAGGGACCTATATAATGTATAGAACTATTAAAAGAATCATATCATGCAATTTAATCAAAGGAGAAAAGTTATGCAGGTTGTGTTAAGCTTCTGAATAGTCTCTGAATATATGAATATTATCGCATGTTCTCTGCTTATATAGCAAAACTGAAAGTTATGAGAAGGTAATATGAAATCGAAATCACTATACGACTAGACATTGATTGAAGTATTTCAGCGCCAATGAGTTGTGTGGAAAAGCCATAAATTACAATATATCTCAAGGGATGACATAATGTATTTAGTTGACGGGAAGCGTAATCAACTGCAAACATTAGTGAAATTGTTTGCACACCTAAGGGGTCTTGTACAATTTAGTTAGCGCTATAGACGCTTGAATTACCTCTGTTCATGCGTTAGCTTTTACATTTTCTGAATGAAATGAAAGTCATATTATAACTAATACTCAAATAATCCCATGAAATATGACAGAGATACTTGAAAAACATTAGCATGAGACCAAATAGAATTTGAGAGAGATTGGAACTTGAATGCTTGATAAAATGATAATACAGTGATCAGAAATATGTATCTATAAAAAGACTCGACTAATGTGTGGACGGTACTACACGCCATTTATATGTATTCTGCATTCAAGAAGTATTTCTCGCTTTTAGGTGTCAATAGTTATACGAAAAAAACGATGAGAGGTTCTCATAGTGTTCTAATGTGTTTTATTCATTACTATAAGATACGCTGTTCTCTATATACTAACTATGTAGAATAATTTGAATCTAGACTGTGTTGCAAAGTATTATGAGTGACTCTCGAAATGTGATTATATTTAATGCAACAATAAACATGATATGCCGGGGTGTGTGCCCGTGTATTCTTTTGCGTTATGAGTTACAATTACTTGCTCGAAAAATGAGACAACTAGGGTATGAACTTATAAGGAGACTGGACAGTTGTAACAACTAAGGTATGAACCTGTACGGGGACTGGACAGTTGAGCAATATTTGATTCGACCCTAGTGCCACTACTACTACGCAGTAAATAGTGTATGCTGTACAGCCAACGCTTTATTGCTTTGCTTGACAGTGATGAAATAGTATCCACTTACGTAAAAATTGTGCCACCCAACAACCAAAAAAACAAAATTTCTGAAGGGAATCTAAGTAAACAGGGTAAGATTGTCCTTATATAACTGTTCTTATTCCTGATACATGGCAAGGTAATATCTGAAGTCTGTCAATCAAAGTAAATTATATCATAGGGAAAAAAACAATATAATTTATAGGCTTGTTTAAACCATACACATCAGCGTTTATCTACTGTAATTACAACACTTAGTTTATGATATGTATGCAAATACACGTAGAGGTGGGTTCAGCTGTCTAGAGTAAAAATCAATACTTACTTCTACTTTCCTGTATCAAGGCAACTATTAGATATACAAATGTATACGTTCTCACGTTTAGAATATCATCTCGTATTAAAATATATACAACATATGAATAGCCTGTACTACAATTTAATAATTAGAGTTGAATCTCACAACTGTCTTTGCAGACAGTATAAAGTATGTACCGAGCACGTCATACCAAAATATATTTCAAATATATGTTATTGAACCATTCGTTGATTTATCCAAATTAGGCGATTTATGGGTGACATGATTATGACGTATAATTTTAAATTCCATATCACTTTCTGTACTGTATGTTCTAAGTGTAGCTCCTGTTGCTTCCATGTGATACTTTGTTCGTCTAACACTTCTGTATCTACCACAAGATAATATTATCTTGAATGCTTTTCTGAACTCTCTGTTAAAAGCGCCATAAAGCACCGGATTGACAGTACTGTTAACGTAACCCATCCACAGTACAACCTGATACACTGTCATATGGATTATACAGTTGCAAACTGGTTCAAATGTAAATAAGGTGAAATAGGGTACCCAACATATTATAAATGCTCCCATTACAAGTGCCAAAATTTTAGTAGCTTTGTGTTCATCCACAAATGGCTTAGATCTAGAATGAAGATTAATTTTTCTGGCCTGTTTTTTTGCGATCAACAGTATCCTGATGTAGACGCAAGTCATTATGGTCAATGGCAAGTAGAATAAGAGAATGCCATCTAGAAAGCTGTAAATAGGATTGGCTGTGAGCCCACAATGTCTAGGGTCATTGTAATTCTGAACATTAAAGTCAGGAGAATTCCATCCTAGGTGTATTGGAAGAAATGATACCAGCAACGAAATGCACCAAACAGCTGCGATGGCCAATAGTGCTCTTCTTCTCGACATTTTCATTGGATATTCCATAGGGTTGGTTATAGCAATATATCTATCAATACTCACAACGAATAGGTTCAATATTGACGCTGTGCAAAAAAGAACATCAAAAGACTGATATATGTTGCAGAGTATCGGTCCAAATATCCATTCTCTACGAACCTCGTTGAAAGCACTGAACGGAAGAACTAATATGCCAAGCTGCAGATCCGCGAGTGCCAGAGATACAACAAAGTAATTGGTGACAGTGCGAAGTCTACGGTTGACAACTGGTGCAAGGCAAACCATAGCATTGCCAAACACAGTAAAAAAAATTATAAAGCCCAGCATAGTACCGATTAGAACTAAAACTTCAGGTGGTCGTGATTCTTCTAATGGCTCGAGTGTGGTGTTCACATTGTTATAAAATGAAGAAAAGGACGATAATTGGTAGGTGTAATTAAAAAACGACACAGGAAAAGATATAATGCGTGGATGGTACGACACGGCAAAAAGACAAGTTTCTGATACATTAAGCGGGATTGTGAAATTGTCGTCGCTCTTCACTATGCAGTTCATTTTTGTAATCATAACACACATACAACAACGGCTCTATTTCTACAAGACCACGAGTAAATATGTCACCGAAATAAGTGAACAAACACCTTTCTTAGACAGACCACGGCAGTAGACTGTGATGAGCGTCGGTTTGGCACACATTCAAGTTGATCAACTACCAAAACAGCGCAAACACATGGTAACCATCATACAATATAGACAATAAATGACGAGGATTTTCTATGACATCACAATTATATGTATTTCCTTGAAGCGCCTTGAAGTCTCCAAATTAATTAGACAGTGGATGTAATTTATATTTGTTAGCAATGCATTGCTGTTAGTCTATGCCGTTTTTGATTGTAGTAGCACTCACAGTACAACTGAGGTGGAAACCACCTCCTTATCGCAAACACTGTTGTCAAACATGAGCTATGAATATAAACTTAACATAATGTCAGTGATATTTCATTAGGTTTCTTTGCTATCGACAAGCCCAATGTACAGAAGGAAATACATGTGATTAGTAAGTTATGGTATATTCAGCCAACCTCAGAACGCAGTCTGTAGGCCAAGCAGTAACCTTCAAGCCATGGTTATTTCGTGGAATCACAGAGCGTAATATGCCGTGCGGTGCAGTTACCGTCAAGTTATGGTTTCGCCAAATCACAAATTCTCTCTAGCGCGTGGTTACCGTAAAGTTATGGCCTTTTTGTCGATTCACAGTGCGAATTTACCATGCCATGCTATTACCGTCAAGTTACAGCCGTTTCGTCGTATCACTGAGCGAAGTATGTCTATTCCGTGCGGTTACCGTCAAAATGGTCTTTCCGTAGAATCTCAGAACCTAGTTTAACGTGCCGTGCTCTTACTGCCGAGTTATAATCTTTTCGTCGAATCACACTACGCGTAGTTTGCTGTGCCACTGATTCTCTTGTGTATTCTTCTAAAACATCCACATCAGCGATGGAAATAATCAGGTGCGCACGTGGACATATTTTACACAGCAAATAATCAGGTCATTAGTATACTACCATTTGAAGAAAGCAAGTGGACAAAACCAAACCAATGCCATGAATGTAATCACCCTGACGATAGAGAAGGTCACAACGCGAAGTGTAGCAATCGTCGGGATTTAATTAGTGAAAATGGACGATGCCTACGCACAGCACGCTAATCACATTACATATTCATTACCCACAAACTTCAAGTCCATCCACTATAGCTGCTGCTGTGAACACAAGCCTTGGTAATGTAGGCCCTATATCCTGTCTCCAGGCCTTGAGTAATACTTGTATGCCATCATTAGTAGATCAGTAAATCCTGCAAAAAATTGTATATATATACCAGGATTTACAAGTGCAAATTCGAAGGTGTCACATGTCATGAATTCAACTAAACGGTCTTAATATTACTTTGTCAAAATAATTGTATAATGTCTCAGCGAGCTAATCTCGTATATCGCATGCACATATGACCTATTGCTTAGGTTATTCGTTTATCCTTTATTCGTTTTCGGTAAATGAATAATCAAACAGTGGCTTTGCTAATGTGTACACCGCAAACAGCAAACTTATATTCATGAGGCATTGTAAAGGTCACATATGTATTCGTATGAAGATTATAGACGACAAATTATTTATATTGAGATTATAACCCTACATTAAAATAGTGAGATTATAAATAACACACTTTAATCTGCAGACATTTTTATGTAAGTTTATCCAGTTAGTGTGGGTTTTCATCTTCCCCAGGTACATAAAGTTTCGATATGTAAACATGTTTCATAAATACTAGGCAGAGACATTTAGTATTTGGACATGAAACATGTACATATTGTTTAGATATATAAACATGTTTCATAAATAATGGGAAGAGACATTTTATATTTGGACATGAAAACTTGTACATAATGTTTAGATATGTAAACATATCTCATAAATACTAGGCAGAGACATTTAGTATTTGAACATGAAAACATGTACATAATGTTTAGATATGTAAACATGTTTCATAAATACTAGGCTGAGACATTTAGTATTTGTACATGAAACATGTACATATTGTTTAGATATGTAAACATGTCTCATAAATACTAGGCAGAGACATTTAGTATTTGTACATGAAACATGTACAAAATGTTGAGATATGTAAACATGTTTCACACAAATCAGGCAGGTACACACAGGTATACAGTAGATATGTATACAACATGTTGCAAAAACCATCAGGCAGGAAGGTAATAACTTCACGTGCAACAATGCACTTATGTTTCACAGGTGCATATTTTTGGTTATGTAAACACGCTGCTTAAGGAGATTGAAAGGTGAAAACAAAACAAAGCATGCTCTTTGTTGTAGTGGTTAATATTATCTCGGTAATTTCAATGTGCTTTACGGTGAACGGTTGCCCGTCCAACTTTTGGCACTATCGTATTTCCACAAATATTGTTGAGTGAAGAGATTGTGTTTGTATCCTCCGAGAGAGCTACGCTGAAGGCAGTATGAACATTATCTGGGATTCTGTCACCAATTTCTTATTTGTGACATTATAATATAACATTGTAGATTACTTGTGCCTTCATACAGCAAAGACACACATTGCGTCGTGTTGCATTTCTGGACATGTCATTGATGTATCACGTTTCCAGCGATTCTTACACATTGAGTTAATATTCGTTCGTTTTGTTCTATTGGGAATTTTAGTTGACATACTCTTAAAAATGTAAACAACATGGACACTGTTTTGATTTTTGGATGGCCACATTCTATATTTGTCCAAGTACTGCCACGCTCTAAGTAAGTAGATTACTAACTGCGGAATATGCCAGACAATGTCAATACCTAAGGGAGCTAGGAGATTATTTTATTTTAGAGGGATAACATCTTTCCCGATGCTACACTGATCGAGTTTATACATCAGGGACTAAATGTCTATCTGTGAATGAGTGATGTTCTCTGATAT